AGAGTTGCCAATTAAGTGGTCAGTTGGTGCATTAGTGACCACCTTGTGGAAGTGACACCAGATGCATGCACATCTCTTACAGGGTCACTACATTCCAAAGCCAAGAAAGATGTATCCAAAGTTGAAGTCAACTTGAGGACTGGCTAGACTCTGAGGAATTGTTTTGCAGCCTAGTGACAGGGACCAAGCTGTGATTGGAGAGACCTTGCTTTTTACCACGATCTGTAGGGTAGCTACCTGTAGCACTTTGATGAGCCTTGTCACCAACAGTCAATAGCCAAGAAATATGAGGTGAACAAAGAGGCCTCTACCTCAACAGCTGGCAAAACATCTCCACTCAAGAGATCCCATGAGACACAGCAATGGCAACTGAGGACTAACCTACCAATGAACTCACCAGTCAACAATACTATTCAACTGACCTTGCAGAGACCCTATTGCTGAAGTAGCATTGCCAGGAGATAGTTGCAACGTGATGGAAGCTTGGGCCCTGTACAGCCAGGAAAAGGACAGATTGTGTTGGAGGGACACTCCGCTATCCCTGTTGGAAGAAGCAGTCTGCCAGTTACACACTAGTTGGTGCAGACTAGAAAAGCCTTGGCCAGTGACATCATCCATGCCATTGTGGTAGACAGTATCCAGTCTATTACCCCTTCAGAGGGATTTACTGTCATTATTAAGTTGAAGGTAATTGGACCTCTTGCTTATAATTGGATGTGTATATTTCATATATTTTTCTTTAATTTAATTGAAAAGTGTTATATGAGTACATATGTGACTACAGCTTTCTTTTATTTTAGTTGCTTCCTGTTTGATTATGTATGTTAAAAGATGTTTAAGTTTTGTAGACTTAGTGTATTTAAATTTTATCTGATTTTTCTTTCTACAGAATTTATTTTGTATTTTGTGAATTTAATATTGTATTATGACTGTTGATTTATTATTAAACAGTGCTTGTATTTGTGTATTGTATTTCTTTGTTAAAGTGTTTTTATCAGTTGTAACTGTTGTATTTCATTTTCTTTGTTTGAAGATTGTGACATCTGTGTGACATGTTTTCAGAGGTGAGAAAAGTTTACTATCAGAGTGCACGTTTAGATTTTATTGGTATTTAAATTAAACTTAATTGTTAGCTTGAGGGCAAGCCTGAAGTAAGGAAGAAAGTTTGTCTACTTTTAATATTATAGTAATTTTTCTGAATCTTTCATTTATTCTACATATGTGCAGAGTTCACGTAATATTTGGTCAAGAAAGCCGTTAAGTTGATTTTGTTCTAGCTACCTTTGTTCCTTAGTTGTTCTCTTGTAGCATACCTGTTCTGCCTGGGAAGGTTATTGTTGCAGTACTGTTTCTTGTGCAAGGCCATTCAGTGTCCTTAAAATGATATCTCGAAATTAGGATCTCATGTAAATTGAATGAGAATGACCAGCAACGTAGGTAGGGCTAGTCTCTCCAGGTAAGTGTGACATTTCTTGGAACTGAGGAACACTGGATTCACCTCCAATAGTTGAATATAAAGGATTCAGTAAAATTGATCATCCTCTGTAAGTAAAAGCAAGTACACTGTGTGCTTGTGTTTTACATGTGTTATAATAAAGATTGCTTATTTCATATTTCACTTTGTGTACAGTCTTTGTTTTATTCATTTTCATGACTTACTTAGAGATTCAGCATTACTTTGTCATTAGTATCTTGACTAAACCTCCTGTTATGAACCAGGAATATTCCATTGCTATAGTGTTAATTCAGTTTTATCTGGATATATCACATTGCTAAAGGCAAATTGTGTCATAAGCCAATCATTATGTTAGAAAAATAAATGTGTCGTGACTGTAGCACAACCTGTCTTCTTATCCTATTGTCTTCAGAATACAACTTAAAATAATTTATATTCTTTTATCCCCTAGATAATCATGTAAATTTCAATGAGATTACCTCTTATACCATATTTTTTATCAAGAGAAAATAAGTTAGTTCTTAAACTGCTCTTTCTTATAACATAACTCTTCCATCATTATTAGCCTATCTGATCTCTTTTTTTCCAGTATCAATATCTTTTCTTGGCTAAGGTGATCAAATCTGTATACAGTATTCCAAATGAGACCTAACTAGGGATTTGTATAGAGAGATAATTACCTTGTTTGATTTGATTTGTAATAAATATATATATATATAAATACACCCTAAAAATTCTGTAGCGGTACTACTACTGGCAACGGAGCACTGCCTCAATGACTATAGTGACGTATCCACCACTATGCAAAGATCTTTCTGTTTTGAGTGGATTCCTGTCTATATTAAATGTGTCTTCCAAACTGTGATAACACAAATGCATTTTTGTGTACTTCAATAACTAAAGTTTATTTGTCAAATATATGCACAACTTACCAGCTGATCTAATTCATTCGTCAATACATGTTCACCATCTTCTTCAATACAGCTAGAAATACCCAAGAGTTTAATGTCATCAGCAAACATTATTAATTTGCTAATTATGCCTCTCTCATATTCACTAGTGTCAATAAGAAAAAAAAGGCCCAAGCGCTTACCTTTAAGACACACCATTAGTAATATTTTCTACCTGCTTTAGTGATATAGAGATTTAATATTTTTATTTATTTAGTTTCAGTGCTGTAATGGTGGTTCAGAAAGTTAAGATTACCTTGTTGTAGTCACATTATTTCTTTGTTCTCTATGGTAGATAATGTCTGTTCTGCCCAAGAGGATATTGCAGTGATATGTAGTATCCAAAGTGAAATGATAAACACTAATATTTTGTGGCAGAGTTTGTTTTCTCTGTAATACAGCTGACCAAGCCTATGTGAGAACAAAGGGTACGAGATGACTCTTGGGACTGCACAAAGAAATCAAGCTTACCTGTTGAATTCAGGTGCACTTTCTTGGTCCAGTTCTACTAGGAGATCATTGAGTGAAGATCATATTTCAAGACCATTGTGTTTAGTTTAGTGAAAGTCAATCATGAGAGTAAGAAAGCTGTGGAGTTAAACACACACACACAAGTAGAATCAACTGTGATGGTGTATGAGCAAGTATGCAAACTGTGCTTTCTGTTTATTTGTAATAATAAAGATATTGTTTATATACCTACATTTGTCCAGACTCATTATTTGACACTTTAAGAAACTCTTGTCATCTACTTCAGAAAATTCCATTTATTTCTTGATCAAGGCTGCTGTTATTTGTGGGTTTGCCTATCTGATATTTGTAGGGAAATTGTTTTTACCTGAAAATACTATAGAAAGCAGGATCACCTTTGACTAGAATTTGTTAGTTATGACTTTTTATTTTTCTTATTCATCTACCCTACAATCTAATTAACTTTTTTTTTCAAACCCCTACCAGTGTGCTTTTCTTTGCTAGTATTCTGTTTGGCACCTTATCAAATGCTGTTTCAAGATTTATTATACCAAATTCACACCCTTTCCTCTGTCACTATAACAGGTAACTTATTTAAAAAACTAGCTGATTAGTAATGAAAGATTTACATTTAGTGAAACCATCTTTTTCGATATCATATCTCAATTCTGTAATACATATATAAATTATTTTGTGTAGCAAAGAACAATTTGACTTTTTCTGTCAAAGATATATATAGTAGAGCAGGGGAGGCAGTAACAAGGTAGCTTGCTGGAGCTGAAGCTACCCCAAAATGTGCCTTAGCCTCTCCTATAGCTCCCACAGCCAACAAACAATGCTTAGTGTTAAAGTTATTTCACTTCCTAAGTACTGAAGCATGTGTACCCACAATATGTAGAATATAGACTTCTGAATTTTTGTCAGGCTTACCTCATCATCATGAAGAGGTTGATGCCACTCCTGTAGTGGAGAGTACTGTAATTTTCTCCAGTGAAGTAAAAACGTAACAAGGACCTTACTTCAAATAAAATATGTAGGGATGTATTAACTGCAACAGAGAAATAACCGTAATCTTAGTGGGATAATTATTACCTAGTTGTCATGGCAATAAAATAAGGATGTTATAATTAGATATTCTAAAAATATATCATTTTGTCAAAATTCAGAATTTATTATATAAATCAACCATCTTTACACTTCTAAATTCAAGAATATAAGGTATTTTAATTGTGTTTAGAGATTATATATAGCTTAGCTATAATTTTATCATCTTTTGTAATGTATATTGCTTTGATAATTCATGTTCAAAAATACTGTACTTATATAAGATTTATATGGTAACCTGCTGAAATAGTATTTCAATATCAAAATGAAATGTAAAGTAGTATAGCCTTTTAATACCTTCAAAGAGATACTTATGCCACAACCATTAGGATTTTTTTTTATTATTATTTTAAATACTTTGATCATGATTTTGAGTAATTTGTAGCAAACACATAGATCACATTTTTTATAGGTATGTGCATCTGCTTATCAAGTTATATACGTAAGAATGGCGACATAATAAAATGAATTTTAATACATGAATCCATTTAAGGTCTGCAGAAAGTAACATAAAACTAAATTAATTGTTCTTAAAGTCTACTCATACTTGAGGCTGTATTTAAAGCCTGTGTTAATATACCCGCAAATGCATTTACCTGAATTATAAATAATTGTTCTTATAGAAATTTCCTCTTGAGCCTTAGTTGATTATAATATTAATATTTACCTTTGTTTTGTTTTTTGCTGTATGTCTATTGTTAATAATGATGAATGAATCAAGCTAATCAATAAAGTAAGTGACAAAGACCTTCCTTGGTTCATTGGTGATATTACTGTTCATTTTCCTGTGATATGTACAATAAAATGAAGGTGTTAGTGTTTGGTGTACATTAAGTACATGTATTGACTGCTCTCTGCATACACATGCTCATGCAGTGTAAAATTCTATATTGAAATTTTGAGAATAAAAATTTGAATCGTAGCTATTTTATGTTTACTCTTTTTTTTTTCACTGTGTTGTAAGAAGTAAATATAAATATTTGATGTTAATGGTTTTACCACATTATATTTTGTTTAAGGCCCAAGTCTTGAGTATTCTCAGCCATAAAAATGTCATCAAGTTTTATGGAGCAGTGACACAACCTCCAAACTTCTGTATAGTCACAGGTGAGTATAGTATGCAAATAAAGTGCTTCATATTGTGTCTTGTAATTTGTATCAATTTTTTTAGGTGTAAAATTGCTGATATGAAAAAAGAGTAAATATTTCTTTATAATAAATTAAATTCTCAACCCTTTTCGTGTGTGAAAAGTTTAAAGCAAATCACTACAGACTTGTCTTATGCATTAAAGGAGCATGTACTTCAATCTTTTTTATAGTTTAGGATTTCAGTAACATATCAGATTAGTATGATGTAACATATACTTGTATGAAACATATTAGCAGTCTGATTTCATTTTCCTTGAATATTAATTTGTTTGGTTTCAATATTTTCAGTTAAAGTCTATAGATTCATGGAAAGTTTTAGATGATATCTGGCAGTGTTCTTAACCTCAGTTATTATACTAATTTCTAATTATATGTTATTGTTTTTGTTTTTTATTAGAGTATGCTGAAAATGCTTCACTTTATGCATTCCTCCAAGAGCAAGATCACAATTCCATGCTTAGTTTTGACCGTATAATTAACTGGAGTATTGACATAGCCTTAGGTGAGAACACCTTCCATATCGTCACATAACTTTCTCAAAGTTTAACATGATCAGAAAATTGTGATATAAAGTAAAATTATGATTTATAACAACATTTTCTCATTACATGTAAATTTCCACCCTATCATTACTATAATATAAAACCTAAATATAGGTAATCATTGTTAAAAGTTTAATTAAATTTTAATTAAAAATTTGTATGTTCATCTTTTTCTTTTCTGAAATACAAGTATCATTTTCTACATGTTGAAAAGTTTGGTTCCATGATGTACATGTAAAGAATAAAAAAATTGTGAAATATCATTTTCAAATACATGTCATAAACATTAAATTATTTTTATTCATTTACACCTGTGTGGATAATTACTGTTGAATGTTTTTTTATACGAACATAACACATTTCTGTTTTATACATCAAAATAGTTTAAGTATAATCTTTAATTTTTGTTATATTTGCTCAAATAGAACAACACTGGGGTGACACTTTATTTTGTGTATTTTGTAATATGTATATACAATACTGTCTCGTCATAATACTACCATCGGAAACCATATGCATCCAAGAGTGATATAGGTGGGGGGAGCATTATAATCAACTAGTCAAGAAGTTACTCATGCTGAACAAGTACAGATTCAACAGACTACGAAAGTAATCAATTAAGTAAAATAACTTTTTATTTACATAGGAAAAATAGATATAAAAAGAACATATATAAGATAAAAACAATCGGCATTTTCATTGGCTGGTTAAAATCACACCAAAAGGGAGCAGTCTTAAAGCTACTCTAAACCTGCTGCAATTGATGACATATCTGTTTCTTTCTTCTTTTTTTTTAATGATGTCATTTACGACCAGATAAATAGAATCCCAGCTGGGTCCAACAGTAGGCAATAGTTTTGTATGCTACTGTGAATGCAAGTGGCTAGAAAACTGTCCATGTGACTTTAAACCTATCATTTACAAATTCTATATTGATGACACTTTCTTGCTATTTCAACAATTGGGTCACATTTCCAAATTCCTTTCTTTCATTAATTTCCAACATTCTAATATCAAGTTCAATTTTGAAATTGATATTCACATTTCTAGGCTTTGCACTTGGAACTTCCCACTTTTTCCTTTATTTTGTGACAGAGTGTAATGACTTTAGTCTCTGAAGCCATGTGGCAAGAGTTAAGCAGCAGGTAATATTAAATTCTTGTTAAATTTTTGGGAGCCAAGGCATCCCCAGCATTATGTCTTACAGCAAATATATAGCATGTGAGTTAAAAGGATTAACAATTGTAACATCCTTTGCTGGCTATGTTGATACTGTCTAAATGTAACAGCTGACCAATGCTCTGAGAGAAAGAAGGTTACAATGAGACCCTTTGAACTGGTCAAAGAAACCAGGCCTGTACATTTAATACAAGGGGAACTTTCTTGTTCCAGTTCTTCTAGGAGATTGTCAAGTGAAGATGGTACTTGAAAATAATCCTACAAAACATCAGTTGCAATAGAATGAAAGCTATGGGACTAAGTGCAACCTTGTAGAAACTTAACTGTGATTCCATCTTCACTAGTATATATGCTATGTTTTCTTTTTGCCTGTTCTATAATAAATATTGTTCCTTTTTGCTAAATTTCTAGTCTTGTTATTTCACACACACTGGGAAAACTTAGTCATCATATTCAGAATTACTCTTGTTAATTTCTGAGTGAAACTGTTGTTATTAGTTGAATAAAGTATCTGATACTGCTTGGGAAATCACTTTTTACCTGAAAATGTAACATCTTCAGTCAAATCATAATATAGCCTATTTTGATAAGCAACACAAAATATATGTGACAGTATTATAATATTTTAAAACCAGATCTTTTGTTTAACCCTTTCGAGACAGTCTTCTCATTTGTTGACTCGTATTCAAATTTTATTGAACTATTATTTCATGAATTTATGTCAGTAAGTTTGGTATCAAACTCTAGATTACTTAATTTCTTAATTTAAAAGTAAATATTAAAAAACACAGATAAACATCGATTTTTGTGTGTCATGTGGTATGTTGAATGCTGCATTAGTTCAGATTAGATGTTTGTGAAGTCAAAATACTAAGTCTATAGTTTCGTACGAATTAGAAAGTCAAATTAACAAGCCAATATTAACAAGCTAGAATATAAAATAAAAATGTATTATCTTTTCTATTTGCTAAGATCTTGCTCATGTAATAAATCAAATACAGTGGTACTCCACCCACCTTTTTCCATTTTTGGAAACACTCACTTGTATACAATTATTTCTATCTATGACATGAATAACCAATTGGAAACTCAGAATGTCCCCCTAGTGGCTTTCTTAGCCATTTTAACGAGCTTGGATGCCATTTCTTTCTTTTGAACCAAGATTTCAAGGAGGTAGGGTGTGTCTTTAGTCTGCTCGAAATACATCTTAGTTACTAAGCTTGATAAATTATAGTGGAATTTTATGGTATTTATGTAGTAATTTATGATTTTTAGTTACTAAAACATGTATATAAAACCTAAAAAAAATTTCATATCTTCCACGTGCACAATATTTAAAGGCTTAGTAACTTACATCAAGTAACAACTGACTACAAAGGTCGTAACTAAAAGAGATAATTGTTTGCTTTACTTCTTTATTTACTATTCTATGTTT